GTGTGTGTGTGTGTGTGTGTGTGTGTGTGTGTGTGTGTGTGTGTGTGTGTGTGTGTGATGTATGCAAGTGAATTATGAAAGGTGGGGGGGGCGTATCTTTGAGTTGAAATAGGCTGTTCTGATTGACAGGGAACTAAATTACCTTGCCCAAGGTAGTTGACTTTCGGGAGCAGATTAAGGGAGGTCCCTGGTAAACAGAAGTTGATTTTAAGCTTGTGTTTACCTAGCTGGTCAGAGTTCTTCCGTTTAGGACGTTGTTGTCTGCGCTACCATCTTGAGAGGTCGCTTTGGACCAACAGTGATGACTTCAACAACATAAGAAGAATTGGGGGGCCAGGCACTGGTGGTGCAAATCTCTAATCCCAGACTTGGGAGGCAAAGGCCAACAGATTTCCAAGTGGGAAGCCAGCCTGGTCTACAGAGCTACTGGCCAGGGCTACACATAGTAATCCTGTATCAAAATAAAAGGAGAAGGAGGAAAAGGAGGATTTGGGCAGAAAAGAAATGAAAGTTACTGCTGAAATGTGGAGATTTTACTGAAAGGGCAGAGTTACTTATACAAAAAAGTTCTAGATATCTAACACGCAGCACTGTAAGTGTAGTTAACAATACTGTGTTTTATTCTTGAAGCTTGCTAAAGATATTGCTCTAAAATCTTCTCACCAACAGAAAATAAATGAAGCTCTTAGGAGTGCTGGATATGTTAATTAACTTGGTTGCTATAGTTACTGTACATTAAAACATCAATTTGTGGGCCTGAGAAATGGCTCAACCACTTCAAATTGTACTCTGACATATTCTATACATTCTCATTCTCGAGCTCTCTCTATCTTTCTCTCACACACACACACCATATGTGAAAATGTTTTAAACTATCAAGTTAGCAGGGCTTGGTGACTCACACCTTTAATCCCAATACTTGGGAGGCAGGGGCAGTCAGATCTTTATAGTTTCAAGCCCAGCCTGGTCTATTAAATGAGTTCCAGGACAGCCGGGGCTGTAACACAGAGAAACCCTGCCTCAGCAATAAAAATAAAGAAAAAAAAAAAAAAAAAAACAATCATCAAGTTGTACCCTTATAGAAGTATAAAGAGATAGATGATAGACAGACAAGCAGACTTGCTGGCTCTTTGACTGCGGAATAGTGTGGCTGTCATGGGGAATGTGTAGTTGAGATGAAGAATAGCATGGTAAGTGCCACCCTACAGGTTGTGATGGGTTTTTCTCAATTGTTAGCTTGATGACATCTAAAATCACCTGAGAGATGGGCCTCGGTGCGTGTGTATGTGTGTGCATTATCATTTTTATTATTAAAAATAGATTTTGTTCTTATGATACATTCTGATTATAATTCCCCCCTCCCTCAGCTCCTCCATGATCCTCCCTATTTTCCTCACCTACCCAAGTCTACATTCTTTCTTTCCCTCATTAGAATATAGTCATTTAAAAATAATTAATAAAAAGATAAAATTAAAACAAAGCAGGATAAGACAAAACAAAGGAATAGAAGAAACAGTGCCAAAGAAAAACCACAAGAAACACATGAAGAGCCAGAGACACACATTTGCACGCACAGAAATCCCATAAAAATCCAAAATCAGGAACTGTGATATATAAGCAAAGGACCTATAATGTTTAAGGGGGGGGGGGGCTTTACAAAGAATTATGAGACAAAGACCCTCCAAAGTTTTATGTTGGCCATCTGCTGCTAGGCCTGATGAGATGCCATCAGAGAAAACTGTTTTTTCATTTTTGAGCAGTTATGAAGATAGCTTGTGGGTTAGGGATGGGGCCTATGTCTACTTTCCCTCTTGGCACTGGGGCCCCATCTAGCCAGAACTGTGTATGTTCTGTGCATGCTGCCAGTCTCTGTGATTTCATTTGAGATTTGCTCCATTAATATAGAGGACTTTGTTTCCTTCTGTCCTCCATAACACTTTTTCACTCTTAGAATTCTCCTCCTCTTCCTTGGGATCCCTGAACCCAGAGAGAAGTGATTTGATGGAGACATTGTGGGGTTATCTTGTTTCGGTTTCCTGGGATAGAATACTCAGTGTCTCTGGGTGGCAACAATCTCTAGGCAGAAGCAATAGACTTAAAAAGTAAACTGAGCACAACCATTCATTCACTCTCTGCCTCCTGATTTTGGATATAGTATGACCAACTATACCATGTATGAATGTGAAATATTGATTCAGGTCTGCAAGGACTAGATCACCAGGTTCCATCCACTCTGTTTACAGCCCACATTAGTCCAGAAGCACTACGTGCTGCTTACAAACTGTTTTCCTCTGTAAAACTCTGTGTGTACCTTTTTTTTTGGGGGGGGGGGGAGAAGGTGCACTTGTTTTGAGAAAGGGTTTCTCTGTGTAGCCTTGGCTGTCCTAGACTTGCTTTGAAGAACAGGCTAGCCTCGAACTTAGAGAGGTCCACCTGCCTCTGCCTCCCTGAGTGCTGAAATTACAGGCATGCACCACCATACCAGGCTCCCACAACTTTTATATGTAGTCAGCATATAGGTTTAGTGCAAACAACTTATACTTACCTTTCCAAAATTTTATTCATAAAAGTTGTCTTGGCTAATACATCTTAAGGACAATTTCAAACTCTATATCATCTCTAATCATTACACTGGAAGCTGCTGGAAAATGTCCCAGGACTTTGCCTTTTGTTGCTAGCATCTGTTAGCATCTGCTAGCATCAATAAACTCTCATTTCAGAGATCCCTTGATCTTAAATAGTTTTAAGTACTAGTCAGCAGTATCAATTTAAAGAGTAGTGACATATCTTCACTATTTCTTTCAAACTTGTTTTCTGGAATTTATTTATTTTTATGTTATTAGACCATTTCATTTTTGGCATATGTATGTTGTGTGGTGTGTGTGATTGTTTAAGTATGTGGGTACACGTGTGTACTACCATCTTTTTGAGATGGGAGTTTGACCTCATGTGTCTTCTCGAATAGCTCTCCACCTTAAGACAAGGTCTCACGGTGAACCTGGAGTTCACACGTTAGTCTGGCTGACCAGTTATTCTTGAGGATCTCCTGCCTGCACTTCCAGCCTGAGAGCATCACACACCCATTTGGCTTTTATGTCAGTTCTAGTGCTTACTCTACAAAAGAATTATTTCTCCAAACCTTGTTTTCTGTTATTTAAATTAGTTGTCAATAACCCAGCACTTAATCTCAGCACTCTGGAGGCAGAAGCAGGTAGGTCTCTATGAGCTCAAGGCCAGCCTGGTCTACATAGAACACCTAAGGCTATGTAGACAGACCCTGTTTTAAAAAAAAAAAAAAAAAAAGACAAAAAAAATTGTCAATTAACCAACACATATTTGTTTGTAAATCTCAGTCCCAGGCAACCTCTCCCTTTATAATAGCAAATATGCTACAAGCATCTGTAGGCTTACAGTTACCAGCCATCCTATGAAAAATAAATGTGCAGCATTGTCTGTTGATATTCTCATTACAAAAAAAAAAAAAAAAAAAAAAAAAACTGCATTATTTCT